GGCCTCGAACTCACAGAGATCCGCCTGCCTCTGCCTCCCGAGTGCTGGGATTAAAGGCGTGCGCCGCCAACGTCTGGTTTATAAAGGTTATTTTAAGATCTTTGTCTTGTGCTTCTCTTTGTTACAATACTCAGGGCCTACTGTGGTGGTGTTGCTGGACTCTAGTGGATACACATTGCCCTGGTCTTACTGATTGTGTTTTTACCCTAGCATCTAGGCATCTGAGTTTAGGGAGATTGTAATTCTATGTGCTGATATCTGGCCTTGTCTTTGTTTAGTGTTTGTTTATTTATTTTGGTCTCTGGTTCTTAGGAGGGTGTGGTGGCTGTGTTGCTTCTTGGGATCCCGTTAGGTGAGACCACTGGGTGGTGGTGGGGGATTCCATGTAAACTGTTTTAGTTATTGGAAGTGGACATTTAGGAATGGGGATGAGCTAGGAGGAGGGGCTTCAGTGGCCCACTAGAGCATAGTCCCTTGGGAATGGAGGCAGAGTGAGGAGAGGCCAGAACAGACGCCTTTGCCAGAGCTGGGGATGAGACCGGGGGACTGGGTATGGAGGAGAGGGAGCATGGATCTGAAGCTTATCTGCCTGCTTCTCAGGCAGGCCTGCTGGACTTGGTGGTTGGGGTAACAGGATGGGTGGGGAGGAAGGTTGGAGATCTGTGTGATCCACTAGAGGTGAGAACGGTAGAGAGTGAGGAGTCTACAGCAGGTGTTCTGCTACAGAGCCGGGCATGAGCCTGGGCATTGGGTTTAGAGGGTGGGAGGGAGAGGTGAAGATCTGCAGTTAGCCTGCCTGCTTCCCCCAGTTGTTAACTTCCGGATTTCATTTTGGTGTTTGGGTGAATCTAGAAATTCACCCATTTTTTTTAGGTTTTCGAGTTTGGAGTATAAGTTTTTAAAATACCCCTTTATGATATCCTGAATTCCTTTTGTGTCTGTCCTACTGCTCATTTCTGTCAATTTGGGTCATTGCTTTCTTTTGGTTAGTTGGTTTGTCAGTCTTCTCAATGACGCAGCTTTCAGGCTCATTGATTCTTTGCATTGTTTTCTGTTTCATAGCTTTCAGGCTCATTGATTCTTTGAATTGTTTCCTGTTTCATAGGTTTCTGCTCTGATTTTTATTACTTCTTGCCTCAAATGGGTTTGGATTTGTTCTTGTGTTTTCCAAATTCTTGACTTGTATCATTAGGACATTTATTTGTGCTCTTTGATATTAATTTTTTTTAATGTAGGCATTTAGAGCTATACATTTTCATCACAGGACAATATGTCCCAGAGGTTTTGTTGTGTTTTCATTTAGTTCTAGGAAGTTTTCTTTCTTTTTTTTTTTTAATCTTGATTTCTTCTTTGTTCCCTTCACCATTCAGCAATGAGATTTTTAAAGATTTTTTTTTCTTAACGTCCTGACCAGTTGCATCCTGTATCCGGTGTCATCCCCCCCCCCCAAATCCTCCTCAGTAAAGGGCAGGCCGCCCATGGATATCAACCCCCAAACATGGCATATCAAGTTGCAGTAAGACTAGGCACCTCCTCTAGTATTAGGGCTGGACAAGGCAACCAAGTATGAGGAGTAGGGTTCCAAAGGCCAGTAAAAGTCAGAGACAGCCCCTGCTCCCATTGTTAGGAGTCCCACAAGAACATCAACCTACACTACATGCAGAGAGCCTTTGCAGGCCAGTCTCATGCAGGCTCCCTGGCTGTTGGTTCAATCTCTGTGAACCCCCATGAACTGAGGTTACTTGATTCTGTTTTCTTGTGGTGTCCTTGATCCCTCTGGCTCCTACAACCTTTTCTCCCCCTCGTCTGTAGGATCCCTCATGCTCCATCTAGTGTTTGGCTCTGGGTCTCTGCGTCTGTTTCCATCAGTTTCTGGATAAAGCTTCTCTGATGACAATTGTGCTAGGCACCAACCTGAGTACAGCAGAGTATCATCAGGCATCATTACATTGACTCTGTGTGTGTGTGTCAGTTCTGTTTGTTTCTATCCTGGGTCTCTGAGCTGTTGACCCTCTGGCTCCTGCCCCTCCAGTGTCAGGGGTGGGCTCCCTCTTGTGTCATGGATCTCAGGCTGGACCAGTATTAATTGGCCATCCCCGCAATTTCTGTGCCACCTTTAACCCAAGCACATCTTGTAGGCAGGACAGATTGTAGGCTGAAGGTTATTTGGCTGGGTTGGTGTTCCAATCCCTCCACTGGAAGTCTTGCCTGGTTACAGGAGATGGATGGTTCTGGCTCTGTGTCTCTTATTCAGCAATGAGTTCTTAAATCTCCATGAACTTGCATATTTACTAGAGATATTTTTGCTGTCAATTTTAAGTTTTATTGTATCATGTTTAGATATAGGATAGTGCAAGTGATTTTAGTCTTTTTGAATTTGTAAATATTTGCTTTGTGTCTAAGGGTGTGGTTCATTTTAGAAAAGCCTTCCATGTGCTGCTGAGTAGAATGTGTACTCTCTGTTTTGTAGATATGTGAAGTCCATTTGGATGATGCATGATGTCAGTTAAGTCTGATACTCCTCTGGTTATTGTTTTGTCCAGGTGACCTATCTATTGGACAAAGTAGGGTATTCAAATCATCTATTATGGATTGAAATCAACTTTTAAATCCAGTAGATTTTTAAAAAAAGAAATTGGGAGCACCACAGTATGGCACATACATGTTTTAAGGTAGTAATACCTTCTTGGTTAGTCTTCTGATTAGTTCAGTTGGAGTCTTATTTCATCAGCTACTAGGACAGCAACACCTGCTTGCTTCCTGGTCCCATTTGATTGGAGTATTTTTGTCCATCCTTTTACTCTAAGGCAGAACCTATTTTTTTTTTTTAAACCAAATGTTTCTTGTAGGCAACAGATAGCTAAATCTTGTCTCTTGATCTACTTAGTCTGTGTCTTTGATTGGAGAATTGAGCCCATTAGTATTCAAAGTATTACTGAAATGCATGTGTTAATTGTCACTGTGGCTGAGATTCTTGGTGTTGTATTCTCAGTGGTAACTTGTCTTTTACTAATTATGGCTCTGTATTTCTTTCTAGTTTTTCTGTTATGCTCAGTCCAATCTCTTCAGCACGAAATAACACTCCCTGTATTTCTTAGGTTTGGTTTGTTGAACATAAAATATTTCAGGCAGTTACGTTATGGAAAAGTTTTCTTTCTCCTTCAATATGGCTGAGTTTTGCTGGGTGTTATTAGTCTAGTTTGGCCATTGTAGTTTCCACTGAGAAGTCAACTGTTATTTCGATGGAGTTTTCTTCATATATGACTTGAATTTTTTTCTATAGCTTTCAATACAGTTTTTGTTTTGTATACTTAATGTTTTAATTATAATATGCCCATAGGGATTTTTTTTCTGGTCTTGTTTATTTGGTGTTCTGTGTGCGTATGTCTTTGCTTAGTTTGGGTAAATTTTCTACTATGATGTTAAGATCTGTTCTATGTCATTGACTTGGGATTCTTTTCCCTTGTCTGTAGCTACATTTAGAATGTTTGTTGTTTTCAAGGTATCCCACATATCCTGTGTGTTCCTTTCCTGCGTTTTTTTTTTAATTTTTCATATTCCTTGCTTATTTGGTCTAGATCTTCTACTTTACTGTAAGCCCAGATATTCAGTCTTCTGCTTGATTCATCCTATTTGTAAGTCTCTACTTAGAGTTTCCTAGTTGAGTCATTGGGTTTTTTAGTTCCATCTTCATTCAGCCTTGAGTCCTCTCCAACATTTTTATCTCCTAATTGGATTTCTTTCTCAAGTCTTTGATTGTCTTTGTCATTTCCATTAGTCTTATGTCTGTGCTTTCTGATGTTTATTCTCCTTAGCTCTTTCTCCTTAATTTCACTGAGCTGTGTCTTTGTGCCTTCGGTAAACTCCATGAATTCTTTGATAAAGGTTATATATTTTTTAAAACTTTTGTGTCCTGGAGTTCACCTAGGTAATTCTCATGGGCAAACATCTGTACAGGACTTACACAGGGTTTGGAGAGAACATGCTGGCTGGATCTTTCAGACTCTTGGTATTCTTGGGATGAGATCTGGCATGTGGATCTCTTTTGTTCTGATTGTTATGGGCAGAGAAAGCTGGGGCAGAAAAGAGGAAGTATAGGTGGGTGGGTCTCTAGGTTGAAAATGGGTGGAATGAAGTCAGGTCTGGAGAGAAGGGATTGGGTTGGATACAGAATGTGTAGAATGTGTTTCCTTTTCCAAGCATGGAGGCTAGAGGTAGATTTGGTTGTGTTGAAAAGTTGACTATGGCCTGGGAGAGTCCTGTGGTGTGAGGGATGGTAAGGAAGATCCTGAGCCAAGCCTAGAACTCCTTTGCAGTGCAAGCAGGGGAGGTCAGACTAGGCTGCCATACTGGTTGTGGGACCCAGGCTAGGTTTGGCCAGTTGTAGGAAAAGGAATAGATGGGAGGTCAGGGGAACTCACCTGGTTAGAACCTGGGAGAAGGATGTGGGAAGTCCGGGTACCAAGTTGGAAGCTGCTCAGAAAGGTTCCGTGGATGGTTGTAGGTTGAGGCAGGTCCTGGTGTAAGTCTAAAACTAGCTGTGGTACAGGCAGGGCACTGGATGTGGGACCTAGGCTCGTCCTTGGAGGAAATATGAGGATTGTGGTTGCCAAGTAGGGTGGTTGGAAGCTATGCAGAAGGGATCTGTGGGTGGCTGCAGGTAGGGCAGGTTGTAGCATAAGCCCTGGCTGTATCATAGGTAGGACCCCGTGGAAGCCAAGAGATTAGCTGCTGTACAGGTGGGTGGGTGTGGACAATATTGTGGGCTCATCCCTACAGGTGGGGGTGGTCAGACTGGGCTAGCACTGGTTCCAGGACCCTGACTAGATATGACAGGTTGGGGTACTCACCACGCTAACCATGGAGGAGAACATGACAAGTTCCAGTACAAGTGGGGTAGAGAGGAATCCTGGGAGGGCTCTGGTAGGAGCTTAGAGCTTGGCTGCAGGGCAGGCGGGGAGTGGTCAGCTTTTGAAAAAGTGACCAGACTAGTAAAGGACTTCATTGAAGGTCACATTTATTGACCTAACTTTTGTTGTTACTTGTATGATAGCATTTACAACTGCCAAAATTATAATCTTCTGGCTGTAATAAACCCCCCCCCCAAAAAAAAACAAAGATAATTGCATCTTCTTGAATATTCATTCAAGTTTCAGTTTTTTTGTTTGTTTGTTTGTTTTGGTTTTTTTCGAGACAGGGTTTCTCTGTATTGTTTTGGAGGCTGGCCTAGAACTCACAGAGATCCACCTGCCTCTGCCTCCCGAGTGCTGGGATTAAAGGCGTGCGCCACCAACGCCTGGCAAGATTCTGTGTTTTGAGGTTCTCCTTCTTCCTGCTGGGGTCATGGCTCTCCTGACGAAGTTATACTCTCCGTCAGTCACTCATGGATCCTCACTGTGTAAAATTCCAGATATGGTGAGTAGAATTCATTTTGTATCTTCCTGAATTATATCTGGGAACCAAGAAGAGTCTGAATAAGACATGTAAACTATTTTAACATCTACCACAGCTGTTAGATAGTCCATCTCTTCCACATCATTACCATGCCTGATGGCTGTTTGCGTAGAAGAAACCCAGTCTGTATTCTATTCCAGAACAAGTCTTAAGATTTTTACATCTATTTCCTATGGCTTATAAAAATAAAAAATCTAAATAAGAGAGGTAGTATAATAAGGTTTGTCCGTTTATTTTATGTATATGAGTATTCTATCTGCCTGTAAACCTGCATGCCAAAGGAGGGCATTAGATCCTACTATAAATGGCTGTGAGCCACCATGCGGCTGCTGGGATTGAACTCAGGACCTCTAAAAGAGCAGCCGGTGCTTTTAACTGCTGAGCCATCTCTCTAGACCCCATTTAAAAAAATTATTTATTTTATATCCAGGCTGTAGTTTCCTCCCTCCCTCCACCATCCATTTCTGTTCAGAAAGGGGCAGGCCTCCCATGGATGTCAACAAAGCATGGCATATCAAGTCGCAGTAAGACCAAGCGCCTCCTCCTGTATTAAGTAAGGCTGGGCAAGGCAATGCAGTATGAGGAATAGGGTCCCAAAAGCCAGTAAAACAGTCAGAGACAGCCCCAGGAACTAAAGCCAAAACTGACGGGCGATTCTCCATAAAACTGAAAAGCTTTCATAGTACAAGGGAGGGAAGCAATCAAAAGTGCTGCTCAGTGGCTTTTGGAGCCCACTGCCTATATAGGGAAACTCTCTCAGCTAGATACAAGGGGGAGCATGGACACGACACAGGGATGTGACCCCACCTCTGCGCTCAGCCGTTCCCTAAATGATGTGACAGACTTTGATGTCCCCCATAGGAGGCCTCACCCTCTCTGAGGAGTGGATTGGGGTGGGAGGATGGGAGGGAGAAAGTCCTGGGATTGGTATGTAAAATAAGATTGTTTTTCATTTAAATAAAAATTAATTTGTAAAAGTGCTACTCAGGCCGGCTCTGGTGGCGCAGGCCGGAAGGATTTGCTGAAGGAGGCAGAGGCAGGTGGATCTGGAGTTCGAGGACAGCCTGGTCTACACATGGGCTGGAGAGGTGGCTCAGAGGTTAAGAGCACTGACTGCTCTTCCGGAGGACCTGAGTTCAATTCCCAGCAACCACATGGTGGCTCACAGCCATCTACAATTCAATCTGGTGCCCTCTTCTGACAGAACACTGTGTATGTAATAAATAAATAAATCTTTAAAAAAAAAAAAGTGCTACTCAGTTGTGATGCCTACCATGAACTACAACAATCGTCAGTATGGCAAGTCATCCCTAGGGGCAATAGTGGACTCTTATCTTAGAGGTGACCAGCAGCTGTCTAATTAGACTCAAGGTTCATTCAACAGCGGGGAAATCAAAATCATGCCTGGTACATGAAACCTAGCCAACTACCCAAGGCTAGTGAGGTCACGAATCTTAAAAGGATTACTGCTACTTTTAAACCAACACAATCCCTAAATATATTCTCAATACTTCTACCCACAGATAAGTATAGCTTCTCATTCCTAGCCAAAGAAACTTTTCTTAGCTGTAGGCAAAGACTATCACAGAAAACCACAACTGCTCAAAATACAGCAAGCAACGGATCATGGGGCACCCAGTCCCAACAGGGAACATCTTGGAAGAGGGATGGGAAAGCTGACTGTAAGAGCTGGAGGACCAGGAGGAATTGTGCCTACTAGAAACGACAGAGAACCTTCATCTATGACACTTCAATAATATGGCGGCCTAAACAAGAACAGCACCAATAGGTATGCTAACATGGAAGGGGGAAACTCCCCCACCTCTAGACAAAGGAGAAAGGGGGAGGGGAGGGAGAGAGAGGACTTCCTTACCTCCAATCGCCAAAGCAGAGATAAGGAAGACCTTTTCTTATTACATATGCTTATTTCTGTGTTGCTTGGCTTTTATAATAAAGAGAATTTTGAGTTAAGAAAATGCTTCCCGCCGGGTGGTGGTGGTGCACGCCTTTAATCCCAGCACTCGGGAGGCAGAGGCAGGCAGATCTCTGTGAGTTCGAGGCTGGGCTGGACCGACAGCCTCAAAAACAAAAAAACAAAAACAATACAGAGAAACCCTGTCTCATAAAACCAAAAAAGAAAATGCTTCCCAAGAAGGTTTGCAATTTTCATATTAAATCTGTATCTAGTTGAGCACACAAAGGGGCATGTGAGAGGAGAAGGCAGTGAGAGGAACAGTTAAGGGACATCCTGATGGCCCGGCTAGCAAGAGGCCACGACCTGAACTGTGTCTCTGGGAGCAGGTATAAAATTCAGTAAAGGCAGACATGCAGATTTACCTGTTTGTCTGCACTGAGGTAACTAAGATGCTGGCCCAGAAGAGGGGCAGGGGACCGAGAAGGCTCGTGATGGGCTACTGCGGTGAACTGCTGCTTGCTGGGAAGAAACCCGGTCAGGTGGAACCAGCGGGCCAGCCTGAGAACGTCCTGGGATGTCTGAACCAGGACTGCTGCTCTTCAAAGGGAGACTGCAACAAGGAAGGGCACAAAGTAAAAGCGGACAGGAAGCAGCAGAGACATCTGAGGACCAGGCGGTAGGTGAGTCTTTAGCAAGCCGGTGTCAGCTTGAGGTTTGCACTTGGTTTTTGAAAGTTTAAGCTGGTGGTTGGGGGCATACACAGGTCAGTGGGAGAACACTGGCCTAGCACTTATCAAAAGCTCACATAGGTAACAAAACAGAAACAGTCCAACTCACCACATTCCTTAGCAGCTGGTTCTAAATATGATGGTTAAATTTTCAAGATCTTCACATTTTAAATGTAGTTCTGCCAACAGGGTGGCTATGAACTGTGTAAAGACCACATTTTTCGGAGAATGCTTCTGAATGCCAAGAATTGGTGTCAATCTGAAACCAATAATAGTAAATGCGTATGAAGAAATGAGAAGGGCTGGAGGACACATCTTCAACTTGCCACGGTGAATCTCCCGAGGAAGATGTTTCTCTGAAATAACAAAATTCCTAGACAAATGCTTTACTAAGATAGAAGTCTCAGAAGACTGAAAGAGCAACAATCCCTATTCAATAATTAAAGACGTCTACATACCTACTAACATGCTCATTAAGCCAGCAAAAATTCTTAGGATAAAAGCAAAATGAATAAAATTTTTATTTGTAGAATGGAGGTGATGGGGGAGCTTTGAAAAATCTCTATATAGAATGTTTGGATTACACCATTTGAAGAAAAAGACAACAAACAGCAAGCAAGATTACCTTTTAGGATGAAACTAGCATTTTAGTTTTTTAAATATTAAAGGCATTTGATAGTGATCACAAGGCATTTAATACCGATTGCATGCTCTTTTCCTTAAACCACTTCTGATAAATCTCTCTAAGACTGACTACATATAATGGAGACTTAAGTTCTCAATGAAATGTAGTCAATAAGCAAGACTTATTAGAAAACTTTTTCTTTTTTAATGTGCTGTGGACTGAACTTAAAGCTTTGCACATGCAAGACAAGTTACCTTATAGACACTAAGATTTTAGTAAGGCAAGCAATATATAAAACCCAAGATCATTGAGTAGACTCCTGCCTAGCATTCAACCCCTCTTCCACAAAGAACCAAAGTAACAGGCATACATATATATTGACGTAAACAATCGTGGGAGAACAGGAAATCAGCAAGAGTGAAACTTGGAGGTTCCAGATACCTGGACAAGAGCGCAGCCAGGGCACATATAAATTCTCTTGTACCTGCTACCACAGCTTCACAGTCCAGGAGGAAGGAGTTTTTGTAGAAGTAAGGGTCAAAGAGTCCCAGCCAACTCTAGCCACGAGGGTGCTAGTGATTCTAGCTACTAGCTCCTGGGAAGTTTACCGTGCTCTTAGATTTACTATTCCAGGTGGGCTGCTAGCCTAAGTATGCAGAGTAGAATCTCATACCCTCGCCCCCAGGTGTCTTCACAGTGCCCTGTCAGGGGCCATTCTGAGAAGTGAGATGGGAGTCTGGACTAATATGGGGCTCAGAGACGCCTGTTATTCTCATGTCTAGGCTTCCACAGACATTTCGTTGCACTGTATAGGGTTTGGCCGCCTTGCCAAACATAACTTGGCTCAGTAGGGCAACTATTATCTAAGTCTGCTGAGTACACCATACTGTGGAGAATAGGTATTGTGACCTGCACAAGGTGCTATCTTTGAAAACCAGGATATCAGCGTGCTTGCCCTGCAATCAAAGATATATATGGACTCGTGCTTCTCCCAAGACTGAAGGTCAACCAATGCCCGCTTTCCCCACTGTGTCAAAGCTAGGTGCCTGTTACTGTCAGGACAGGGAAAATCAGCATCATTAGCCTGGGTGTCATGAGGGGGTCTTGAGCAACTCTGGTCCTAGCTGCTGCCTCATCCCCAGATAAAGGGGATCAGAGAACACTGCCCAACTTTGACTATTATCCCTGCTCTTAGTCAGATACTGGCACGGAAGCAGCAGGGAGCAACACAAATAGGTTTTGCTGCTACTCTGCTTGGTAGTTCCCACTACTGCTCTATCTGTGTGTCTGTCTGGAGGGCTGCCGAGCCTCCATGAGTGCCCCAGAGGAAGCACTGAGTCCTTTAAGTGTCTTTCTTTTCAGTGTTTGTTGGAGACGGATGGTTTCAGACACCTCTTGCTAGTGGCAGAGTTTGGTAGAGGCCCGCTGTAGGAATGGTGACACACTGGTCAGCCTACACCCAGTGTTCTCTACTGCTGACATGTGGACTGTAGAGACAGTGGTCTTCTGGGCTCTGTAACAGTATCCACTGTGCCCAAAGTCACTAATCACAGTTAAAAAACTACAGTGAAATGACAGAAGGTATCCAGTTAGATACAAAGTCACCAATGACCACAACTCCAAGACACATTTTTAAGAGAAACCTTCTTAAGCACTTTATAAAAGTGATATAGACACCTGTCTACTAGATGTACAAACCCCAGTGAAGAGATAAAACATATATGATGAACAAATACCCTCTTTAATTTAAAAATTTGTATTACTGTGTGTATGTGCATGTTATATGATTTGTGTATGCACTGTGGCTTGCACGTGGGGGTTATAGGATAACTCTGGGGTTGATTCTCTCTACCTCTTGTATGGGTTCTGGGATGGAACAGTTGCCAGGGTTAGGCAGCAAGACCCTTTACCCACTGAGCCATCTCATTGACCCCAAGAACATAGAAGTCTTTTGATGGGGGATGTCCTTCTGTATATGTGCTTGTCTTATTGGTTGATTAAATAAAGCACTGTTGGCCAATAGGGAAGCAAGATAGATGGGACTAGGAGTTGAGGATTCTGGGAAAGAGAGGCACAGGCAGTCACATTGTAGGACACGGGAGAAGTAACATGCCCGGACCCTTCCTCTGGTAAGAGAAGACCACCTGGAAACACTTAGATTTGCCATTATGGGTTAAATACTTAAGTCAGAGCTAGCCAGTAAGAAACCAAGCAACGGCCAACAGCTTATAATTAATATATTGTCCTGTGTGTTATTTGGGGGCTGAGACAGTAGCAGTACCCAAGTGACTGGTGGGAAGACAAGTGGATGAAATGCTTGATAAAGAATTTAGAATAATTATTACAAAATATCTCAATTAAAAACCAATGAGAAAAAGGTTAATAGCTAAATATAATTAGGAAGACAGTACAGGATATGTATTAGAGATACCACAGAAAGAAATTTTAAAGAAAAAAATGGCAATGAAGAGCACATTAGGTAAGAAGAAAACACACCCAACACTAACTAGTCCACTACTCCAAGCTAGCTAAGAAGACCCAAGAACTGACCACATAAAATGGACCTGAACTTGGGTCTTTGAAAAGATCCTAGTGGAAGCTGTGCGTGGCATTCACCCTTGTGAGACAGAAAGTAGACCTTCAATGAGCCTGATGCCAGTCTGGCTTAAATGAGTTCCGGGACACTAGGAGTACAGCCACATGGCAAGGTCCGGTTTTGAAGAACCACAAGTAACCAACCTTTCAAAAGAAGAAGAAACTGGAGGACTCCAGGACTAAGACCAACCTACAAAAGATGATTATAACTTCCGCCACAGAAGCACACAGAAAGCTAAACCCCACTAGGAGAGAGGTGCACAGGAGAAATAGGTAATAATACTGTTTATAGTACACATAACCAAACCATGAAAATGAAGCAGAAAAAGAACAAAGAATATTCAAAACAAGTAAAGGACAACACAGCCAAACTGATTAAATTACTATTAAAAGAGGTAGAATGAGCTTGTCCTGGTAATGCAGACTTGTAATCCCTAGCACTCAGGAGAGTGAGTCTGGAGGATTGCTGTGCCATCAAGGTTTGCTGCTAGGGAAAATTCCCTTCACCAGGAAGGACAGAGTGAAAGGCAAAGGATGGAAAATGAACATAAAGTAACAACAGTTGCTACTTTTGCCTGACAAAACAGACGTTCATGAAAAATTATTCACCTAATGTTAGAGCACACTATTATATGAAACAAACACTACTAGAAGAGACTGGTTCTAGTATAACAATGGTGAGTTGTCAACCCCCCACCCCCAAAATATTAAGAGCCATCAGAGTTACCCTGTATTATATAGCAAACAAACATAACAGAAATTAACAACAGCTAAAGAATACAAATTCTATTCATCAGCACATAGGACTCTGTGTAGAACAGATCCCACGTTAAGTCTCAAAACAAGTCTTAAAAAAGGAAAGGAAGTAACTTGCTTTTCTGATCACACAGAATAATACTAGAAGTCAACAAGAACAAGCTTTCAGACATATAAACACATGGAAGCTGAACAGCACACTTGTGAATGAGTGGGTCACTGAGCAAATCAAAAGGGGATTTTTTTTTTTTTGAGACAGGGTCTCTCTGGCTATCCTGGAACTCAATATGTAGACCAGGCTGGCCTCGAATCCACAACCATCTCTCAAGTGATGGGATTAAAGCTTTGGACCATCTCACATCTAGCTCAGGAGTTTGATTTTTCTTGAATAAAATGTGAGATTCAGCAAAGGTACTATCAAGAAGGATGTTTATAGCACCTACCAGACATGGATGTCTGAATATCAGCAAAACACAGTATTTGTGGGAGAAGAGAAAGATCAATCAGAGCAGAGAAAAGAAATGGTGTGTGTGTAGGTGGGTCTCTAAAAAATTATACAACAGATCATTACATACAGTTGGTTCTTTGAAAGAATACAGCCAGTAAATCTTTACTCAGGCTTGGCAAAGAAAAATAAAACCAGAGATGTAAAGAGACATATTACAACTAAATGCCACAAAACTACCAAGTTTCCTTAGAGACAGTATGAAAATGGCCTGTTAAATGGATACGTGATCTATAAGCACTCAATTATGAGGATGGTAAAACCTGAATAAACCAATAACAAGTTCCACAATGAATGTGAATTGGCAATAAGCTTCCTAACAGAAAAGTCTAGGAATAGATGGATTCACTATTGAATTTTAGGAATCTTTTAGGGAATGAAAAAACAACAAATGTATGGAATTGAAAGGGAAGAGATCCTTTCTAGTTCATTGGGAGATTATCCTTATCCTGTAAGGAAAATGCACGGGATAAGGTGTTTACGATAGAATATCATAAACATACAAGATGTCTCACAGTATTTAACAAACAGGATATAAGCATCATTCTCTAGGATTTACTTTTATCTTACAGATGTGAAGATGATCCAATGTACCCAAATTAATAAATAAAACATCACATCAACAGAATGAAGGATAAAACTATTATTTCAATAGAAAAATAGCATTTGATGAGATGTAATATCCCTTCACAATAAAAACACTAAATAGGTATAGAGTTACTTCAATATAACAAAAGCTAAAAGCTGAAATTCTTTCCTCTTCAGAACAAGAATGGGA